TGACTATAATCTAAATGAATTGAAGCGTGACAGATTATGGTTATGGGCTAATCGGGAACTGCAACCCGAGTTCTGCTCGCATCCGGCTTAAAGTTTTGTGTTTGGGGTACTTACGCTTCGGAATTTGTATTTAATAGGCGTTCTTCAAGAGATGGACCTATTTTTTCTTTATTCTAAGTAATTTTATCAGCCAAAGTTTCCTATGAAATTGAGTACTGGAGAGAATTCAATATATAACATTTTGATGATGAAAGGATTTAATAAAAAGAGTAGCATAATTCAATATACAGTCTAATTTATGATCTCGACAAACGGTCAAATTATAAGGCACCGATCTTGTTTGGTTGTATACGTATCCAGTTCACAGGTCACTGGAGGTTACTGGTCGTGAATCGTCAACCAGTTGTTTGACAGAAGTCTGAAATTAAATATAGTGACCTGAGGTTACGGTTATATCCTGAAATTAGGGAATGGAAATATTTACTCTGAAAAGAATAAGACTATATTGTTACAAGATTTAGTTGGCAAAAATTAACTATGGGTCAATTATCCTCGTTTTCTCTAATGGTTCTCTTTTCAGTCAGCTTAAGATCCATGTACATCATGCCCCTAGATTCAAAAATAAAAAAATATTTAAATTATTACCAGAATTTTCACAATAATTCGCCTGACCTTCACACAGTTATTTATCTCCTATTGTCATTTATAGTTCCGCAGTTGAGTGCCAGTGCCACTCATTGCCACCTGTGTGTTTCATCCGGTGGCATCTGTTACGATTTGAACAATGATGGAATCGGTGATGGGTGCGTGTGTCCGCCACACAAATCCCTAAGTTCCAAAATGCGGTCTACCGGAGAGCAGGCGTGTTCCGTAACTCACGGTGAGTCAATGTTCTTATACTCAGACCGCATGCTTGACACTGTAGTCACACAAAAGCACTACAAACGTAGTTTTATGACTGCCTAGAAATAATCATGGAACTTGCTGACGTGTTCTATACTGAAGATTTGTTGTTTTTCTATTATTGCTTTAACACTCCCAGATCAATGACTGCGGTGATTGAGGTGTGCATCCAGGTCACAACATACTATCAACCAGGCGTGTATTGTTTTATTAAAAGAAACACATTACAAGATAAAAAAAGCGGATTAAAGCAGTGGTTCCGTGATATAAAAAGGAATGCTGTGGCAGCTCAATTTTCCATATTGCCAACTTCAAATCTGTGTATAATTATCAGTTTTAACGAGAGCGAAATTCCAGTCTGGTCCCTCCCGATTGTATGGCCGGCTCAGTGTTTTGTGGTTTGTGATCACTGGTGACATCATAAAGACGGACGGTCAGTCCCAAACAGCACTTCTTATGCATTAATACAATTATCACCTTATGGTGAATATTAGGCAGTTGTTGATTAGACAATGAATTTTCTGCAAATGAAACACTTTGCTTTGTATATTTTATCAAACTATTTACACGATGATATCGATCTGCTAAGTTCGAGTTTGTTCGTCTGAAGCTATGCGATATGAGGTAGTGTTAGATGCTGTTTTGCTTGTGTGTGTGTACCCATAGATTATCGGTTAACCTGACAGTTTATATGATCGTCCTACACACGGATTCCGTGACACATAATGTTTTGTCACTCCATTCCCACTAGATGAAGACAGTTGAATCAGATGAATAGATCTTCTTGGGAAACACGCTCAGGCCTAAAACGCAAATGTCAGTTTTAGTATCCTCGATCGATTGAGTGTTGATTGAGATGAAACATTGAGGCTTTAAACAGAAAAAAAACAACTATCCTATTTTGTTGTGCGTTCTTGCATTACATATATGTATATATTATACTGTATAGAAGGAAAGTATACTGAAAGGTAACAACTGCGGAAAACGCAAAGAGCAATCAAAGCACCGTTTTCCCTGTTTGTTTTTATACAAACATGTCAAAATATTAACGGAACCAGATTGCTGTATTTTTCTCTTTAAATTGATCCAACCGATTATTTTACAACTGGTTCATTATACACCTGTAATATTTTTTTTACTGTTAGTTCAATAAGTTCTCTTCTGGTATCTGTGATAGTATCGGTGAAAGTCTGATAGTTGACGTCAAAACTACTGATGCAGAGATTATTCAGTTCACTGTACCGCCGAAACGGTGAGTATCTCGCGTGACAGTGTTGATCATTTGTCTCCAAATAGAGACCAAATGGGTATATGTCGACACCCAGAGAGCCATATATAATTCGCGACAAAGGTATCGCAGACCTCAGGACTTTGTAATGTTTCTAGTCCCATAGTCAAAAACATCGCGATTCAAGTTGGTACAAACGACCATCAAATGGAAAGTTAACTTACGAAATTTGATCTAATTAGGTTTTTGTGAGGAATGTTTGGATTAGCCCATTCGGTTTTTCACAGGTACCAGGCAATGTTGGTGATGTTAGTTTTGGGTTTCACCGCTTGGGAGATCGTTAACTGCATTTACATGCGATGGAAATTCGTGATAACCGGGAAAGAACACTGGGCAGCTGCTTCATCCTGTGTGAGACTCATCACTAGTGTGCACTTTTTGTGTCCTTGCCAGAACTCGAACCACGTACCTTCGTGTTGGGATTTCAAATCCTTACCCCTGAGTTCTGACAAGTACACAATAAGTAGGCACTGCTGATGAATCTCAAACAGAATGAAACAGCTCTCCAGTGGTCTTTGTAGGTTATCACAAACTTTTTCACCTAACTCGCTTTATTTTATTAAAAAGTATGGAAAGAACATTATTTTGGTTTCAAGGGAATTACTGCACTTCCAAGGTTTTATTGACACATTGAAGTCAAGTCAAGTCAAGTATTTGCTTTATGCACCCGAAAACAGTGCATTAGCCATTCAATTTCACAAAGTCAGTACATCTTCTCGGCTTAATCTGCTGCATATTTCACACAACCAACTGAAGCCAAGGAATCACTTTATGCGCCTGTAAGCTTCAGCATCTGCCTCTATGAGTTTATGACTAGAACGGGAGGATGAATAAGGAGGGCAATGACTAAGAGCAGGATAAAGGGGGTGAGAACAGTCAGATGAAATCTTGCTGGAGAACCTTTTACAGAACTTGAGGTGGTGTAACACCATATGGTGTACCAGATGTTTCCGCGGTACAAGACCACATACCGACAGAACCGTGAGGGATCGGGAAATAAGTTTGAAGTTCTTGTTAAAAACACCGGGGACGAAAACAGGGGACCCATAAAACCTGTGTGGCAAAACGCAAGCAAAAACAAAACGCTCAATGCGATGATTTGGGATAAAATGTGGTTTAAGACGTGAACCGTAAAATTTGAGTCTCCTGACCTTCACGAAAGCGTCATTGACGTGGTCAGACCAGGTGAGATGACGGTGGAAAATAACTCCAAAGTATTTGACGGACAGTTGTCGATCCATCTGGTCACTGAAGATAGTTAAAGGCGGGTTGGTATTTCCCAGTCAGCCATTATCTTTACCTTTCAAATGGGAAAACCTCAATGCATTTTGTGGGATTCGTAGGGAGGTCCCTTTGTTGTGAAAACTCCACTTTTTCTGACATATTACCCTGTAGAGTGATCTGAGATAAACTAGGGTAGGGCAAGCCGAATGTAATATAATCTGCATAATTAACAAAACCAGAAGAATTGTTCACAGGCATAGAAGAAATGTTAACGGAAGATACAAAAGGGGATAAAATAGCACGTTTCACTACGCCTTGTAAGGAGGGCAGCAGTGAAGATATACAAACTTTGTGACATGTGAACCACTGTCTGTTGGAGAAATAGCTGAAGAAGAGTTCAATCGTGGGAGGTTGAGCGCCACCAGAAGAGGGTATTGCAAAATATTTTTCTATCAATCGTGTTGAAGGAAGAACTATGATCTAGAAAAGTACGCGGCCAGTCTTGCTTTTCTTATCAGTTTGAATAAAACAAACTGAGAGAGACAACAAAGGGTATCGGGAGTACTGCGGGAATGAGTGTATGCAAACTGCTGTGGGTCACCAACATTGAAGTGTGTAGATAGGGTTTTAATCCGCAGCCTAAGAAACACCGTCAAAACCGCTGAGGTGCAGGCAGTGGGACAAAATTTAGAGCAGTCTTTCTTTAGTACTTGGTTATTAGGGCCATTCTCCAACAGTTGGTGATACTTCACTGCGAAATACAGTTGTTGAAAGTTCACACAGTACAGAGGATGGAAAGATAGAACTTTCCCTGAAGACAACGGATGAGTCTATCAAGGCCACTGAAATTGCAAGGACGTAATCAGACCAACTATTGATAACTTTCGGTAGATGCAACGCTGGCCGCAGGATCGGTCATGTTTATGTCTTACCCATTAGATAGAGCAGGGGAGCGGGTCCGTTATTGAATAAGCTCTGATTCAGACCCTCTATATCCACAACAGCGGGTGCACGGTGTGAGAATTTGATGCCAAAATTTTGCATAAGGGCATGTCAGGCCTCACGACTACCTTTGGTGCCAAGCGGAGCACGAGTGTACGAAGAGTTTGGCCAACAAAGGCCAACGCTAATGGATTTAGAAAGATAGCGCACCTCATTGCGCTCATTCATTTTGAAGGCATACCCCATTCTACGACGGAGTTGTTTTATGTGTGGGGAAAAGAATCGGTGGGAGCGGATAAAAATTGTCTGAGGAACAGCAAGCATGATAGAAAATGTTTAGGGAAACTTGTTGGGTTGGGATCGGAAATTAAATTAAGGTCAGAGTACCTGGTCATCTTCCTTAGCCTCATGAGATTTTTGTGCAGAACATTTTTTCTTTATGCTTGCATTCACGATTTCGAGTGAAGATACGGGGGTTAATTCGGCTAAAGATGTTAGGGGAACATTTTAACAAGGAATGATCAGATATTCCTTAGGCTGGGCGGCATTGTACAAGATGGAAATTTGGAAGGTTGACAAAACCCGAATCCAGATAAACATCAAATCTGGTGGGAAAGGTGACAGTATTTCGAAGACCGCAAGTGGTTAAGAAACGGATATCAAAATTGTTGAAGTCGCTACAAATAATGCAAACTGAAGTATCTACATATTCTATTAATATAGTTGAAAAAGATTCATAAAACCCATTAGGAACATTAGATGAGTAAAAGACAGCATTACATACATTCACAAGAATGAGTAACCTGGCAAAACCTACATGACTGGGCATACATTGAAGTACAGATGCGTTTATATAAAGTGTAGAATAAGAGAACACATTGTTGGTCAGGAGACATTACTGATAACTGTGATAACTATGATAAACTGTGATAACACCACCACTCCGACTGGAATAAGGAACAGGACAATCGACTTGATAGCTAGCAAAACCATCCAAGTGTACTAGCTCATCATCTATTCCGTTGTGAAGCCAGCTTGCTTGAAGAATGATCACACCAAGCTTGAAGCTGTTTGGCTACGTTGGTGAGATCGATTATATTTTCGATGAGAGGTTGGATATTACAAATCAGAATAACGGAGACACAAACAGGAGATGGTTTGTTTCAGTTGCTGATCAAATCACACAAATTTGTGTTTTGTAGTATAAGTTCCTGATGTTTTGTGACGTTTTGTGTTGGAAACACGCAACTGTGTATTATATGGGGTTTGAATCTTGAGTGAAAACAGGCCATAATGTTGTTTTAATACCATGGAGTAATAACCGGCATTTTTTAAGATACGAGGTATGAACAGCGGCACTATTATTCTGGGGAATGGTTTCCGTATAATAACATTACTGGCATAAGTTGTAGCCCTAATAAATGAGAGTATGCACTGGTATACCACAACAAACCCAGGACGTTTGTTATACCCGTTGCTCGAGTAGGTGTCTCAATATCATCGCCGAGTTCCCATTGTCAATCCATTTAATGAACTGCCGCCCTTCTTTGCGCATATTATGGTAGTAGTCGTTTCATGCATTGGGTCCATCAAAATAAGAATTCACTTTAACAAACGAGGTTGCATTTCCTTCTGTTTTCAAAGTTGTTCCAGCAATTCCCTTTCTCATCATTTTGTAACTCATTCATCCAGGAAGCCATCTTGTTTCGCAACAACCGAATCGTACCCAGTAGAAACCGTTTTGATCTCCGACGCGGAACTCAGGAAGTCTGAGGCCATAGCACCGTGAGCTAATCAATTTACAGAGCTTTGGCTGATTGGTAACTTTTGTTTCATTCAGATATCGTTCCAGGGTGGATTCGAACCGATGACAACATCTGATAGTATTCGCGTACTGTTAATGAGCTCACGCAATGCATTCCAGATTTCATTCGAGCCCCAAGCTTCCTACAAAGAGCCATATTTGATATTAACATTCAAAGACCTAGTTGGATATTTTTGTTCGTTCAAGGTCATGGAGGGTGACCTGAGCGCTAGGACACTGTAACCCGGATGTCACCATCATCTGGACAACTGACTCACCACAATGGTCAGTTGCCGTGCCAGGGTACCAACGCAGAATGAAGATTACACCAATTTGTGCAGCCCTTGTTGGGTGAAATACCTCTGGGCCTTTCCTAATATCAAACTAATTTGTGGAAATTTCGTATCTTAACTTTTCAGTTGGCCTTTATGATCCATAGAAGCAACTAATGTCTGTACTGAGCCGTAGATATCCAAAAAAATGTAATACGAAGGTAGGGTTTGTCTCGGGGTTTGTTATACTTCATGCTGAAGGTGTTTAGGTTTTAAAAAAAGCTAAAAAATGATTTCTTCTTTTTTCATTTGCAATCAATAACATTTTTCTCCCCCCACTGAACAGCAGACGATAGATGCCGCTGGTTATGACAACTGCATAGACACTAAACTAAAGATTCAGATATAAAAAAAGTAAAGAATTCATAAGTTCTACTGAACTGAACTCTTATTAAATATAACAATAAAAAGTGCATCCATTATCCCGATGCAAAGGAGAAAGCACTCCTTTATTAACGGGGCATCTTTTTGAAGAAATCAGAAACCTGAAGGAGGCTGCATGCAAATAAATGTCAGAAACACTAAGTGTACTCAATTCTATATATAGATCTTCTCTGGGACGTTAACTTTGGAGTTTGATATGCGGTTTCTAACATTATAGACAAGCAATTATTTGCGATCTTTTCAATCTTCTGCAGGTGCACGCGAAATGTTTAGAGTCAACAAGAGTCTTGATATGAAACGTGGCGGAGGACCCGGTTCCATGATAACACTGTATTTCCCATTAAGATAAAATGAGTATTGAGTAGAGTATTGAGTATTGAGTAGAATCAGAATACACAAAATTATCAAGGAGTAGGTTATATATATGTGAAATATTCCCATTAATGTGTAATAACTGAGTTGTAGGGGCTTTACACAGTAGTGACGAATGAATTTTGTATTGTCTGAATATGCCCACGCTGATTTCGACAAAATTTCTGTCCCTGTAAGTGACCCTATCATCAACACGTCAAGCGTATAAACCACCTGAGAGGTATCCTTGGAATTTCATTTCAATAAGCATTTAATGAGTTCGGAAAATTTCTTTTAATAGAACAAAGATACTCTTATTGTTGGAAGACAAAGAAAAGATGGAAATTCGAAAATGACTAAATGAAAGATTTATTTTTTGTATTCAAAGACTTATTATGAACTGAAGATCGGAGGCAGCTCGCAGCAGTATTTTCATTGTAAACTACAACTGGTATCGGTTTTGGATAAGAAAACTTTGCCAACCTGGCCAACTTTCTTTTATTAAAGTATATTTTACCTTCGAAGTATGATATGACTATTCAGAATTGTAAGAAGATAGCCTACGCAGAAAGGCAAACTAAAATACCACAGGAAGTATCAATGTTGGTGTTGGTGAGATCTCATCAACACTAACATCTGCATCCCAAAACACAATACAACGGATACCCCGAAGTAAAACAAGGGTGGATGAGAAGGATTTTAATGGTTACTCTAGACATTTCCGAGGATGGAGAGATACAAGGTGATAATCCGTGCATTGTGACACGTCTCTCATGTTTTACAAATATTCACAGGCAGGAGTGAGTAACAACAACAACATCAAAAATAATAATAATAATAATAATAATAATAATCAAAATCTGCGGTGGAGACAAAAAATTAGGAAGGCCGATTTTTATTTCTAAACTATTTTTGCGAGGACATGACGCAATTCAGTGCCCATGAATCTTATGGGCAATTTCATTATCGAACGAAAAAGAAGAGATGTTTATCTGAAGGGAAACATATGAGTTGATACTTTTTTTGAAAAGTGCACATAAAAACAAAGAAGTCGTCTTTCTCAGTAGGAATTTAATGAGTTAACCTTCGATTGGGATAATAAGCAACCTATTGTTAGTTTCTCTATTATATTAGAGTTAGAACCATGTTATAATGAACTTGTGATAGGAATCCATTGTTTAAGTTTCTTGAGAATATGACTGAAAGAAAGCATCTTTTCCGATAAAACCTATTAAATTAGCTTGTCACGCTTTTGCAAAAATAGGTTTTTTCAATGGAATCCAATACTCTGGTAGCAGAAGTTGATTTCCATTCAGCAATTTCCTGGAAACCAGATTTAGACATATATATGCATTTTTGCCCACAAGTGCAGTTCATTCGCTTCGTGATGGACAGTGTCTGTGATTTTGTCACGAAAATCAATAATTCGACCTCATAACATATATGAGAGAATTTATGCAATTGAAATAACGAATACTGTTTCTAAGGGCCTGATTCTAAAAGATCAGCTGAAAGGCAGACTCCCTCGCATTTCATGATTTACTTTATTTGGAAACATATATATAAAAGTATTTGGGAAAATGAAAGCACAAATTGAATTGAAAAATTAAAATAAAATCACTTGAAATGTCACTCCTGAGTTCTGCTTGATCGATGATTTGGGAAGGCAAGAATAATTATATTTTCTGAGTTGGATTGCTAATAATTTCATAAAACACCCATGCAAATTACAGTAACAACCATGAGAATAACTTAAACAAATTCTACCACATTTCTTTTGAATACCTAATTGTGACTGCAAAACGTTCGATCCCCGAGGATATTTTGATCCCTTTCATGTGTCCTCGAGTGAAAATCATGCCTTATGCAATACAAAACAATCGTTGGAGAAGTGATTTTGGTGTTAATAAGGAAGGAAGTAAAACACGTTTTGATACTGGAATTCTGAGTCTAATGAACATCAAGTTGACGAAGTATATTGCATGGCGTAATTACGCAACGACTGGCAGAAAGCACAGAAAATTTCTTTCCCTTGACTTTTCACTCGTCATCAATGAACACGGTGTATGAAACAGGCATCACTATCTAGTACTAAACGTACTCATCGACAAAGTCTATCAATTGGTAATGGATAGTATGACCGTATGTGATTATGCAAGAGGATTAAAAATGAGCAATGGCTGTTATTTCAACATTTTGCTTGATCACATTGAATCAAAACAGCGAAAGCATGAAATAAATTGTTCAATTGTAGCCACTGATCGACGTATCTGATGCTCACATGCTCATTGATAGGTAGAGAGCAAACTTAAATATGGTTGAAGGGCTATAAAACGGTATACAACTCCGCAAATTTGGCAACCTGTAACAACCATACATAGCTCACTAACATTGCACCGGTCGTAGTTGAGAGCTTCAAATCGCGTTTGAATCTCACGAGGGCATATTATAATTCCGGAGGACATAAACGTGTGCCTTCTTTTTGTGAGCCAAAATTGTTTTTATTTTGAAGTAATGATGAATTTCCACCGACGATAGGTTTCGTTTGGAGTTCTCAAATATTGGCAGACGTAGAAACTCCTATTGCTTAAAATGGGTTTTCTTCATCGAGAACAGTTTCATCATGTTGTGTTACCTTCAAATGGCTCATTAAGTCATCTGTACCTAAGTTTTAACCAAACAAAAATCAACATTTCAGTCCGAGGATAAAAATAATAAAATATACAGAAAAGTTACAAAACGATCAGAGGAAACTTTTGCTTAGTTGAAATGCATGCCAATTAGTGTACTGCTGATACACGAGTAATGTTTGTACGAGTATTAAACATCAAAAATGGGAACTCACTGGGACACGAATTACGAGGTGAACGGATCTAGACTGAGGTAGTAGTTACACTTGGCGGCTATTGTTCTGAAGATAACNAACAAACGGCACACTACAACGAGAAAGCTTCATTTGTAAACCACTTTTGACGTAAGGCTACTTCTCATTAGCCTTCCACAATATACGTTACAAAAAGATTAGAAATGCCCGCTTTCAGTTAATCGACGATATTTTCTATTGTCATCCTATATATCTTCGCAGTGTCATTGAATTGTTCGGACGGACACTTTTCTGTATGCTATCGACCTCATACACATCAACCGTTTGAGCATTTGACCTCGGATCTCAGTGACGGAAAAGCGGTTGTTCAGCTGATTCCCACCGACAACGAGAACTCAATTTTACTTCATGAGTACAATATGGCTGCAGCAAAACACATCGTTCAGAATGAACGACACACTTTGTCTTTCCAATCTTCGTTCGCATCACAAATAAGAGATCCTTGTGAACTCTCAAAAATCGGTGCTACTTCGGCAACATTGAACGACCGTATGGGGGTTTCTTCAGGTGTCAGCCGCGGGAGTGGTGGCGATAGGAACACACCGGAACAATACTGCTTGCATTTGGATGCATGGAAAATGAAACAATCTTGTGGAATTAGGCTTTACAGCCTCGGGGTAAGTTTTTACTGGCAACCATAACGATTTGCTGCCATCGTGTTAATCAGATTGTCCTTTTTGCATTTGCCCTACATGCTCCTGATCCGTTGTTTTGCGTCAAAACGGTCTGAACATGAAGAAAACCGGTTATTGCTTATAATTGCCATCTATTTCTCGCACTCCCTAGTTGTTGGCAGCAGAGCTGTGGTGTGGTCAAAAAAGCCCACCTACGTTAGATGAATATAGACCAGCGTGTGTGTGTCTACATTGTCCGAGTGAGTGGACAATTTTATGAGGGTTCTTTCACTTCCGTTCTCTCTTCATTGATCTCTAGTCCGAAAACCAAATAGAGACAAAAACAAATACATATATACAATTGGCACATACAGATGCAGATTGTCCACTTGTGATTAGATTTTAATCCTTGTGATGAATAATTAAAAATTACACCCACAAAGAACATTAATCACGTAGTGCTATTCCATAAATGTATTCAACATATGTCCCATCTTTTATAGGAAAATTCTATTCAGTACGAGGGTCTACTTGAAGTTATGGTGGATCGGAGTCAGCGAACTCCAAACAAAGATTTACAAATACCTTTGAAGTGTATTGCGCCACGACCAAAACGCGCTCCCATCAAAAACGAATTGTGAGTTATAATTCGGCTATTACTTTTGTTTGCCTAACATGAGGATGGAATGCAATATGCTGTGGTAAAATAACTTTCAGCCACATAATTCATTCAACTGATGACTATTTATTTTGTTTAGAAACCGCAGTTCAATCGTTTTATATGTATGGGATTTGTTGAGTGAGTGTACACTGAATTAAATATGCGTAATTCCGAAGATAACTGAAGCATCCGATTGAGAGGGCAAAGGCTAATTTTTAAAGTGATCAGATATCCAAATAATTGGGCGAGCATTTGCAGCCACATACATTCCATTCACCATTGTTGAATATAATTCTGCTAAAACACTAAGGTTGTAAATTAGTAAAATGTCTAAACTAACTACGGAACCACAAGTTGCCTGAGATCATTGCAGCTTTGTTACATCTCGGTAATTTCTGCCATGTAACCCACCACCTAGAACAAACGAGAGTTTATTCTTGTAATTATTCCCAAACAGAAGAAATTTGAGCATGTATTGAAAAATAAATTGTATGCCAAAAGCATTTAGTTTGAGTAAACTGTAGGTGCATCAGAAACTCTTGTTCATCACATAGTCAGATTATTAAATGGTACAAATTGAAATATCAGTCTCAATGCCATTTTTTAAAAGCTACTGTTCGTTAGTATAGATTTCCTCATAGGTGACACCAAGCGTTGGTGTAGTATTCATTGAGTGTGTCCATCAGGTTTAACCGTTGTATTCAACGCTCACGCGCGTGCACCAATCGGAGGGAACCCGTATGCGCGTGCACCTGTGCATCACAGTTAGGTTTAGGCCACATAGAACTCCAGTTCCCCACCACACCTCGATATCCTGTTTTCGTAGCTCAACAGTAACTAATATAGTCTGAATGTCTCATTAAGAGAAATATTTCACTAACGGGCGTAGCGCTGTTGATAGTGCAGAGAATAATAACAGTCATATTTTGAAATGCGGTTGTTGATTCCATTCCAAATGATGAAGCAGTTCTCCAGGTACCTACTCTCTTCAGATAAACTATATACATATGTATCCTTTGTTGAGTTCGAAACTGGCATTCTTGGTTGGACAGTGTCGTATATTAGGCCAGTGGAAAGCGTTCACCCCTACGCGGTTTTACTTAATAGAAATGATGCAAAGATATTCATTCTATGAACACCTTTAGTTAACTATGCTGCACTATGAGCAGTGGACTTTAGGATGTTAGTATTTTTCGGAAACGGTTAATGATGCTTGATGCATCCAGCAAAATGCAATTTGCATAGCCGAAGTACGAGAAGTAGTCACGTTATCAATAAATGCTTTACAAGAATTGTGCATTCACAGTTGGTGGGATTTTTCTCCGTCAAATGGAGAAATCCGTTGCTAATACTGATGCTATTTATATTGAACAAAAGTGTTCTCAATAAAATGTTTGGTTTGAGTAGATGACACGTAGTTACCGACTTTGGTATGTCATCGCTGTAACCTTTGACCTTGTCAATCGAGTTGGACAATGAGCGTGACCAGTTGCAGTTGTACATGTTCAGTTACCCCCAGTCGAATTTAAAGTTAAGTTCATTTCAAATACGTGAACGAGCATTCCCACGTAAATATGCAGAGAAATTTTGTTTAACATGGAACTGATAAAGGTTGTTTAAGTGGACAAGAAGAAACCTATTGGTGCAAATCAAGTGATATTACGAAATAAATATTTTTTGCTCACGTTCGGTAATTGATTTTGCAAGAACGATCAGGCAATTATCGCAAAGAATCAAGAAGCGCCTGATTGAGTACAAGCACCGTAGCAACTATTAAAGGTGGAGTGGTAGAACAGGGCCATCAAGCAAGTGAGAATACATTCAAGGTGATCTACAAAATACCAGCACATCCATTCAAAGCTCTTCGTCACCGGCACCTTGCGACAGCTTAGGCGGTGGCTATTCGCCCATTTAACCGTTTGTACTCAAAAGTGGTCCCCTCAGACACTTAGTTAACCTTGGTCTCAACCTGACACAGCCGACCGAAATGATCGTGATTATTGACATGAGCTAGGGTCGTCAACCGAGAGTGAAGCAGCTCACTCAATCCATCGATTGTGAACGCTTCTAAACCGCCCAACCACCTTCACAATAACAACGACATAAAGCAAGGAGAAAACGGTGAACTTTCATTTCCAAACCATAATATCCTTAATCAGCCAATCGTATTCATCACATCAGACCTGTAGGCTAGTTTAACATTTTTGAATCATTTATATGACTGCACTAGCCCAAAAGAGTTATCGAAAACAAGGTTCGTTAGTTACAGTGTTCTCCAGGTTTCGAGATAGGCAAATTCAATGAATCAAATGATGTCATCGATGCATCGATGTAGTTTCCATTCACTGTAATACGCTGCATTCTTTCATTTTACTGCTTTATTTTTTAACTATACGTATCAGGCAAAAAATAATTTTAGAGTTGGGTGAATACAACACGTTTTCGCTTTTATATATGTGGAGTGCTGTGATTATTGGTGAGAAGCTGTAGGTGAGCATTCCTCACGGGTTTTTCAAGTAAATTTTGGGAATTATGAATGCCGTATATCTACCTTCTGGCAGTTTTCCTCGAATGTGATTGAGAAATGAGACGCGATGACTTAATATTTGCTCATCAGAATGATTGACTTGGGTTAAGCAGCTGAACGAACTGATCGATTCCTGTTTTCATCTCTGACGATGATGGTATCCACATATATACCTTTCCATTACAGTGAAGATGCAAGTAATTTAGTGTTTGAATATTCCCATGATAGCATTGAGAAAACCAGTCGATCAGCGAACAATTGTTTTCGGATATTATGATATGTAAGAGCATGACTAGGAATATCCGAAAACAATTGTTCGCTCACTGACTCGTTTTCTCGTTTTCATTTGGGTGTTCATAGAACTGTTTTCTAAAATTGGGTTAAGTTGTTTATCATTGGCTACCCTGGTAACTTGTCCAATTCATATTTCCAACTTTTGATTAGTATTCGTTAGTTGGTGACTGGAATCAAACGTGATCCATTAAAGGCTGACACGCAGTGCGTACTAGAGGAATGACAGTTCTGTGCGTCGGTCTGTACTAGAATCTGATTCAATTAGAAACTGTCTATTCGAGTGTAGAGAATGAGTCTGTCAGTAACGGGCAGTAGAATATTAATCGATCACTCGGCTGATGTGTCGTTTTTAACAAATTTCTTTTTATCTATGTTTCCATACCCCAGTGTACTTAACTTGATTCAGTCGATGCTTACGAAGCCCAACAAAGAGCTTTTCCCTTTAGCATTATCCTATTGAAGCTTTCCTGTTACCAGTGGGGTTACCTAACCAAAATGTTGCTCTCAATCTGTGAACCAAAACATACAGTAACAAGCCGTATAGTTCCAAATCATAACCCATTCGAAAAAAACGATGCATTTCGGGCTCTGAAGGTGTGGAAGAGTTCAAATCAAGAAACTGTGCGATGAAGATAATTACCACATTGAACGACGAGTAGTGTGTCTGGCCTTGGTCTGATTTGGTCTGATTTAGCATTTACAGATATTCCTCAATGTCATTTAATTCATGGTTTCTTACCAGTTCCATTGAAAACATTAGGTGATTGAGTTTCTATCATGAGAACTAATGTGATCACGAAAATGAAGCTTAAAAGATTTTGGGTTTTAAACACTGAAAGTGCATAACTTTTTCCTTCCACCACGATATCCCTCGCCAGTTTGTCGGATCCCGGTAGACCTTCCGAGCAGCCTACCGATATGGAATTCAGAGTGGTCAACGCAGAAAATAAAGAAATTTACGCAACACCAATGAATACTATGATACGCTTAGATGCACTGTTGCTGGATCAGTCAGGTAAGGAACATTATATTGAGAATATATTATACTTTCTTTGTCAAAATAACAGTGCAACAAATGATCCGTTTCTGGGGTTTCAACCTGAGATTGCTTGAATTTTGTTGTGTTGAGTAATGTTGTTCGACGTTTGATCGCTTGTGATGTCAAAAATGCCATGCCCCATTTTATAACAAAACGCTTGAGTATTGATGGCATTTCTATCAGTATGTCAAGTCATACGTTGCTCTAAGAATGGCATTTTATTTGATAATTGTATAAAAATGAATCAAACTGATACAGCGTATTTGTCGATCAACTAGACCCAACTAGACTCTGCGAATGAAAAAGAAGATTCATCATCTCTGAATTTCCGGAACTGTTGAAACATTGTAAGCCATTTGTAGTTTTTTGTGTTAGAAATTCCAGGACAATTTCTACTAACACAAAGTAGAAACAATGGTCACTGATCGATGAATCTGCACATTGGCACCAATTGGTTGTTTTGACGAACTTTATTTTCTGGGAATCACCAACGAGTTATCCGAGTAAAGGATCGATAGGCTTTTCGTGTAATGGATTGTGTCAAGACCTTTTGAGTGAATTATTCTCTACACTAACGACGACATTTCTTTGACAAATGCATCAATTTTATATGAATGCATTACTGTAAACAGGAATGTAGGAGGAACCATATGTAATTGCCTGTATGGAACCAAAATTCGCTTTGTTTTAAAAGTATTTTTAGTTCCTCCAGTTATGCAGCCAAACTGACGAATAACACGAAGAGTAACCTGTACAAAATGGTAAATATCTCCGTTACTGTAGAATCATAATTTTGATCTTATTCTTGAAGTAGACTTTCAGAGGTTAGATCAAATAGTATACTACATCAGTTTCATAGGCGGCATAAATGATTATTCTGAGATCAATTAGACTGAGAGCAGTAGATAATTTGTGGTTCATTTCCTGAGCAACTATGACGCAAATATTTTGATAAATTAAAATGCTTCGTATCAAGACTCCGGGCACTAATTCAGTGAGACGCAACTGCAGTACAAAGATGTGTCAATCTTCCCCAGCATTCCAGGTGGAAAACTATAGTTTATCAGGGATATCCAGTGTTGGTAAGCAAACGCTCACTTTTTTCATTCCACTTTTAATGAAATAAAACTCCCTTCCAGTTTTGCACGCAGTCAATTCTGCTGACAGGTGACAATCATGATAACATAAACCGTATATGACCATATTTTGTTTCATCGTACTCCTTCTTGAATTTGGTAATATTTTTTTCACAGGACAATTCAAGGTGGTCGCAGTCGAGAAATGTCAATACAGTAACCGAACAATGGGCCAGACCACATACGCTTCACAGAGGTTGAACACATTTATTTATAAAGGGTACGTCTTGAATCCATCAATAGATAGGATTTGAAATTTCCAGCTTGTGGTCAGAAAGTTTCCAGACCACCATATGATTTTCATTCTTCCTACTGTTCAAATACTCTTATGGTATTGTAATACTCAATCTAAACAATGGTGTTTAGTGATGTTGATCGTTTTAATCTGAGGAATAAAATATCTTTAATACCTTCTCTATGTTCTTAATGCTACAGGTTAAATATTTCTAACGATATTGCGTATAGTAAGCCTTAAAAATAACAGTGCAGTTTAAAGGATGAATGATTATAAACATTAATATTGTTTGCTAATTGTTCCCTTAAGTTCGTAAATCCATCGAAAATTTCCGTATCAGACCAATGTTTAGAATGCAGACGGATTTAATAATCGGTTATAGATAATTTGAGGTTCCTCTATGATAGCTTCAGTGAACACAGTAGGGATTTCCATATTGTCTTTAATGCCCCTTGTATTTCCTGGAGATTTTTGATCATAATTTTTCTTTTGTGAGCATCAAACGGTGAATCAATGTAGTGGCCCCACCGTCTTGTGCATTGTCCTTCAATGAACCAAGTTGGAGAGCAATTTGCTAATAGCAAACCGCTTTGTGATCGCTTTTTGCATTTCTTCCTGTTCTCATCTTTCCCCTCTGCATGATACAGATGTCCCGTAGCTAACGCTCGACTACAGACACAGTTCACAAATGGACAATATCCGAGCGATCACGTACAAAGTGCACTATTTCCGGCATTCCGTGAGGGAAACCTTTCCTCGGTGTTTTTTCACTGCATTTTTCGTTTGTGCACCGATACACAACAATGCATCCAGGTACGGAACCAAGTAGCTATTACACCGAGTAATGTTCAATGTGGCTC